TCAAGGCATGTGTTCGAATATTGCTGTATATTCATAATAATTGTTCTCATGTATAATAAACATGGGTCACTATTTAGTTAACCTGAACAGCAATTTATAGGTATTTTGTTTAGATGAAGCATGATATTTTTACATAAATATAAACAGATTGTGTGTAACATTTGGTAATATATCCAGATACTATAAATGTGTGTTAACATAACTGTATACGATAGACTTCCAGTTTTAATGGGCACGGCAGGTTAAAAACTTTCATTTACTGTGGGTACAGTAACTGCTTCCTCTGAATGAAGTGGTTATAGTGTCTAGAATCCCCAGATACATTTATTCCATTCAGTGTTAAACCATTTTAATGGTTTAATGCTAAATGAAAGACCCCAGGAGCCCATCCTCTCTGTGCTGCTTAGACTAATGAAGTAGAATTAGCCTGAGAAACAATGGGTGTCGGTGATTGAAAGTTTCAGCTAGCCACTTTTAGCCTATCACAATTGCCCATTGCTAGTGTGAATCGGAATACCTAGAAAGAGGTTTCACAATTCTATGTAATGTTCCTAGTATTATGCTCTCTTCTAGGCATGTGCATGGGGAAAATTTTCGGTTCGGCATTCCAAAATTCGGGACTCCCGCAATTCAGGACTTTGGCAATTCGGCACTTCAACACTTCGGAACTTCGGCAACTTCGGCACTTCGGAACTTCGGAAATTTGGCAACTTCGGCTCTTCGGCACTTCGACACTTCGGAACTTCGGAATTACGGAACTTCAGCATTTTGGAATTTCGGGACTTCGGCCTGTGGCTGCTCACTGTTAAAAATTTTTTAAAAAATAGGGTCCTCCCTCCCGAGCCCCCACCCACTCGCGCAGCACGAGTGGGGGCTCATGAGGGGGGGACCTTTTTTCTTTTTTTTTTTTAACAGTGAGCAGCCATAGGCTGCTCACTGTTTAATAGACATGCCCCTACTCGCAGTATAGCGAGTAGGGCATAATTTACTAATACTAAGTAATCTTTACTTTGTATTAGTAAATTTGGCTGAAAGACCAATTTAGGCGGGGATGGAAATTCAGTAGTGTTCGCGAGGTCAGTAGTTTTAAATGACAGTAAGCAGCCAGATGACATGCCCCTATTCGCTGCATGCCACAAGTAGGGGCATGCAGGAGGATTTAACCTCCCTTTTATTAATATTGGGGTCACAGTGACCCCTATAGGTTTTAATGTGGGGGGGTTAGGAATTGCTAATATTTATTACAAGTAAGGGAGCTGGTAGAGCTGCCGGCTCCCTCTTTGCGTTTTTTTTTGCGCATGCCCTGTGTTGTTTTTGGGTAAAAACAAAAACATTTTTTACCGAATTTAGGCCCAAAAACGAATGTCTAATAGATATATATATATACATATAATGTGGTCATGGTGTTTGGAGTGTATATGCATGACAAGAAATGCAGTAATACACAGTTAATGCACTTTGATGCTGGATGTGTAAGTCCTCCACTGGTAGCATCATTACCTGTCTAGACCGAGAGTTCCAGGCTGGCTGTTGTAAAATCTGTGCATATTGGGTGTTCATAAACACACATAGCATGCGGGTGGCAGAATTCCAATGGTGGCACAGCACCTCCTCTCCAGTTGACTGTGCTTGAATATGACATTGTTAGTACTTAAGTAATACTTGTATGTGGGTAGGGCACGAGAGCAGCCATGGATTTCCTATTATCCACTGGCACTGTAAGTTGTCAGTTGTCCTGGAGAGAGGTCAATATAGAATGGACAAATTTGATCATATTGACACATAGGTCATTTTACACAACTGTTGTGTGCAGAATCATTGTTACAGCTTTGCACTTAGCAGTCTCCACAGAGAAATCATACAGAGAAGAGGACACATGTTTCTGTATCTCCTTCTGATTTGCCTTGTGTGCCATGGTTGTGCCTGAACTGAATTGATTGTGATATTAGTTACTAATTAGTTTTGTTTGTTTCCTGAACAATTTTTCTGCCAGTTGTGGCTGAAATCTTTCTTGGTCTACCTGACCTTGGCTTGGTATCAATAGATCCCTGAATTTTCAACTTCTTAATAAGTGATTGAACAGTACTGATTGGCATTGTCAAGGCTTTGGATATCTTTTTATATCATTTTCCATCTTTATGAAGTTCCATTACCTTGATACGAAGGTCTTTTGGCAGTTCACTTCTGCTCCCCATGGCTCAGTATCTAGCCTGCTCAGTGCATCCAGGGGAAAGCTAAAAAAACTAATTGACTATTTATACATCGACACTAACAGCAATTTAAAAAGCCACAGGTGTGGGAAATTAACCTTTAATTGACATTTTAACCTATGTGTGTCACCTCGTGTGTCTGTAACAAGGCCAAACATTCAAGGGTATGTAAACTTTGGATCAGGGCCATTATCCATCAATAAAAGACATTGTTTTGCATGATCACTCATATTTTCAAAATAAATGCCAAAATGTCACAATTTCTGCCAGGTTATGCAAACTTTTGAGCACAACTGTTTGCTTCCAGAGCACTTTATCTAAATGTTTGTCTTCCTCCTGCACTCCTGCAACCAAGTCAGACTCGGTTCTTTAACATTCAATATCCTCATGCAAAGCATGACTCAATGATAAGTTTTGGCTTGGACAAGAATATGAAGAGGAGACACCTGCAAGACGATGACTCAGAAGGCAGAGTAGGTGGCTGCACATAGTGAGTCTTGGTTCTGGAAACAATGTTAGTAAAACCCTTTCTTCTGAATCTAAACAGTTAGTAGTATAATGGTAGCACTCGATTTACCAACTATGCATTGTTAGTTTGATCTTATGCAGTGCCTTCTGTTGACAAAATAGAAATGTGTCAATTTACATAATGTTGGTATGCAAAACTGCGTAATGTACAACCAAATACGCAGTTTAATGCATATATTTTCACTTTTTATTGTGTTCTAAAAAGTTACTTGTATTATATATTTTGATGTATTAGTTATTATTGCTTGTTTTCCAGTGTTCTGCATATTTGTTAAGCACAGAAAGTAGCTATCTCTTTACAGGGATAGTGAGTGAAACTCTACAATGTCTGAAGTAAAAGAAGCAGCTCAACACTAAAAGTAGATTAGCCCTTATCCACAATGAACTACAAAGACACAAGAAAAAGTGGTATAAGCTATATACCAACAAGTGGAGCGCTATTACAATTTGAACAATAGAGGGGTACACTCACCCCTTCATTACCATGACAGTCTCAAACGTATATGCTTGAATGTATATACAAAAGGAAACAGAAACAAATATATAGTGCACATGGTTCCCAAAAGAGGATAAATGATGGTAATAAATGGCTGAAACCACTCACATGTACTGGAGCCTATGTAGTATTGGCTCTGTAAATAGATCCTTTATGTTTTTTAGGCAGCAAACACACCCCTTTGTCCCAAGCGGTACTCCTCCAGGTAGACGGAACAGAAAAAAAGGGGAGACAGGCCGGCTGTGTAGTATTGTATAGAATGGGGATATAATATAGGTGGTAATGGTTGTGCTCACCTTTGACAGAGCCTCTGGACTCTCGGCTCTGAGGTTGATGGACAATGTGCTAGTTTTTGTGGGGTAGCACTCCCCGATGGAGGTTACTGATGGCTAGGAAGGACTTGTTGGACTAAAATATAAAGTATTAAAAATAATGTTTTAACAATAAATTAAAACAAAGATAATACTTCATCTAAAAAATAAAAAAGTTAAAATAGAAAGTCCAAAAATCAGCTAAATGCGTTTCACTCTTCTATGAGCTTCCTCAGTAGCTGTGTGGTAGCCTCAGGAATCTTCTTCTTTATAAATGTTTAAAAGTCCGTTTGGGTCCTCCCTTTGAGGTCACATGATATGTGGCTTGACCAATCCTAAGCTCACCTTTCTTCCCTTTATTACGTGTAAAGGAACTGCCTATGGTAGGGAGACCCCCATTTGATGGAGATACTGTCAATCCTAATAAACACTTAATTGAACAACAGTCATTGGTGGTTCTGTGGTGTCATATTACAAGGCATCCAATGAGGTCAGTGGCTGGTGGAAGTGACGCCGCGGGTGGTTCCGCTCGCCACCTCCACCCTCCACCGCCAACATGGGAAAGCCCTGTGCAATAAAATAGTGTGTACCTATTGGGCATGTCGCCCCTTATTAAAAGTAAGCAGGGCGGCATAGTGCGCCGCTCGTCGCAGCCTTCTGTGCTTCCGGATTACTCCCGTGTGAATACAGGAGAATCCGGGTGCCAGTCAGGGGAGTGGTCACACCGACTTCTAACACTCCCCCCGAGCGGCGGCAAAAAAGGAACTCGTATTTCAGGAAAGTAGCATGAGGGCGAGAAATAATTGGACACACTTCATGCTTGCCAGAAATGACGTAACAGGCAATCCCGTTCGTCGATACTGTCCTCTGACGTGAATAGATTGAGATAAATTGTATTTTCGATACATCAATAAAAAATAAAGTATCAATGAAAAATAAAGTATATTGGGAAAACAACCGATGGGGGAGTTTGGGTGATTCAATAGGAGACATATATGAATATAAGGGGAGGATATGCTAATAAGGGGGGGTGGTCATGATGACATCACAGTTACGTACTGTGTGTCAGCCCAAACTCCTCCTAATTGCATCCATCATAGAGATGGGCACAAGACAGGGTCTTCCCTTAAGATTGACCAGTGTTTGTTAATGATTCTTCTGAATTGGTGATTGCCATGGCTGTAACTGCAAGATCGACACTAAATAATGAAAATATTTACTATAATTTTTATTTTATGTTTGACAATGACTAGTCACAAAGAACAATATTAATGTCACATCATTGTAAATCTTTTTTCTGTAAGATACTGTGCATCTTTTGTCTTGTGGACTTTGCAATCTGAGTCTACATATCTCGGTGTAAGTCATATTAGTCATGACTAGTGATGTCCCGAACTGTTCGCCGAACTGTTCGCCACGGTTCGCCACGAACGGTTCGCCACAGACTCCAGTCAGCTGACACATTCCAGCCAATCAGCAGCAGACCCTCCCTCCCAGACCCTCCCACCTCCTGGACAGCTCACTAAGAATGCAGCTTCAAAATGGATGCTGTCCAGGAGGTGGGAGGGCCTGGGAGGGAGGGTCTGCTGCTGATTGGCTGGAATGTGTCAGCTGACTGGAGTCCGCGGCAAACCGTTCACGGCAAACCGCGGCGAACAGTTCGGGACATCACTAGTCATGACTCAAAGCCAACGCCTTTTCCAATGCAGCATGCATTTTGAATTTGTGATCTCATGAGGTATAGAAACCCTGCATTATAACAAATGATAAGAAATATATTATACACTGGACTATTTAGTGTTACTGAGGGGCATAGTATTAAAGTCTATAACTGGAAAAAAAATTCAAATTTTAAATAAATCTCATTATTATTGGAGAATGTCTAATATTATTTTCATACAAATAATTTACACTGTCATTTTCCTATGTATGTGTATGTATGTATGGGAACATTGTATGTGTGATATATGTGCGTGGTATATATGTGAGTGTATTTTTGTTTGTCTTTGTAAATGTTAATGGTCTCCATGAGTAATCTTGTAATGTTACTTGTTGCAGTACTGGTGGTAAATAACTATGGGCAATTTTGAACACAAAAAATCCAAACACCGAGCTTTATTGTATATAATGTTAAAAACCATCATAAATACATAAAATGTGTATATGGAAATAACTGTTAATCATGAGAATTTAGCACAAGTCTAACAAAAACTTGATTATAGTTTGCAGGTTAATTGTAAAAATATTCTGAATTTGAAATAATAAAGGTACCTGACATTTTGTTTCATGGTGACATATTTAAAAAATTATGTTATGATTTGTTGGTTCACAGAACACATAGTATGATATATATCACTTTTCAGTTATTGTTAGTTGTTTTCGTATATGAACAGGGAAATAAAGAAATCTTCTAGCACAAACCTTTTACAAGTCTTATACAAAACAGGTGTTCCTGCATTGAAGTGCCAAATGAAATGAGCAACGGTTTTTCACTAAAGTCTGAATGGGGCAAAACCATCCATTTGCTTTAGGGGTTTTCAGATTGCATTGTGGGACAATAGAGGTGACTCGTTCTTGTGTGTTTTCAGTTTAAATATCTGTGTATAAATACCCTATGCCTCCTGAATAAATTTTCACAAAATGTGTTATTACTACACTAAGTTAGTCTTTTCATATTTCTATCTAAAGCAAACTAGTGTGTTTTTCATGTAATTCATTGCAATATAAGAGTTCTGATAAAAAGAGACACTTATTGAACAAACCTTTATAACTAAGATTCAATGTATATTTGTACACTTTAACGTCAGTACACCAAATTACTTAATGTGTGTGACCTAAAGACAGCAATACTGTGTATTTATGATGCAAATATGTCATAATGTAGCATACTTATTGACAAATTTGCTGTATATTACATTGGTGTTGTTTATAACCATGGTTGAAAGCATAATCACTGGTTGTTTAGAGCAGTGGTTAAAATTAATGTGTTGAAATACATTGTTCCATATAACTTCAGCAGATCATATATCAAATCAATATAATCTACTGAATCCATGCTGTTAAGATCAGATACAAACAGGAATAAACTATGATGAGCTTTAAATGACTGAAGGTATTTACATCAATTTATTTAAACAGTTGACACAATATTATTCCTTAAACTATCAAGGTTATAAACTGTGTAGCATGGTGATGATTAAAGATTGTGTGGTGCTAGAAAATGCCCCTAGAATTAGACTCTGCTCAGTGAATGATCATTATGGAACGGTGTACAAAACATTTTAAAGCCACTGCAAATTATGTTTTATTTGTGTGAGATTCCAATATAATCTATAGATATTGTAAGACAAAGCAGGGACTTGACAAAAGACAGAGCTATTGCCATTGCTACAATGAGTGCGAGATAACATCTATGGTGGCTCTCACGGGATCCTAAATAGACACCTTTGATGTAGTCTTGTGCACATGCTTGAGTACAGCACTGATGTGGGTTCCTGGCAGATTAATCTACAGGAGCTGAATACTGAATATGGCGGTATTTGCAGGGGACATCATCAGGTAAACATAACTCAACTCTGCTGCACCCCTAGTCCATTGCACACCAAGCGGTGATGTTTTCATAGGTAATCTTTGCAAAATATGCAAAGTACCCAGAAGGTGACAAAGACACTTTATTTTTTTTTAATCTCAATATTTCTTTTTTTTAATTTTTGACAAATACAATTATATACATAATTTATAATCATAATATTTCACTCTCAAAGTCACAACACAAGTTACAAAATACAAAATAATTAACAATACACAATATATAAATGTACTTCATTCATACCAGGGGTTATCGGACATATATTTTGTATATATTCAGAATAACAGAATTACTTTTAAATTAAAATCCATGGTCAATTTACAAAGTTGACAATATGTTTAACCAGTTTTTATACACATCATTTTTTTTTTTTTTTTGAGAAATGTGGTTAACCGTGAGGGATTTTTACATATTTAGTTGTGTTTTAATTTGAGAAAGGATATGATGTTTTTGAAGAGGCAAGGAAGACCTCCAATTTCTAGCTATTATAATTTTCATAGCTATAAAACAATGGACAGCAATACAAATATCATTTCCTGATTTAAAATTCCACTTTACATGTAGTAATGCAACTGTAGGAGAGAATGTTAATTTTATACCTGTCAAAACAGAATAGAGATTAAAAACCCAAGACCATATAGTAATGACACATGGACAAGACCACCATATATGAATATTGGAACCTAAGTCATTGCCACATCTCCAACATGTGGGATTGCATTCTTGATACATTTTAGCTAATTTTTTTGGTGTTAAATACCATTTATTTATAACTTTAAAATGACACTCTGTCAAATTCAAACAGTGGATATTTTTATACGTTTGTCTTAACGAGTAACACCACTCTTCCAATGTTATAGTTAACTCTAGGTCTTGCTCCCAAGAATTTATTATTTTCGTTGGATTATCATTGAGTAAATCCAGGAGAAGATTTACTTTGGAGATGACTTTATTAACATAATTATTATTAAATATATTTTCCATGAAACCAGCTGTCTGAAATGAAAATTTTAAAATGGTAATGTCTAGAAAAAATGTTATTCTTAGATATGTAAAAAATTTCCCTATTCGGGACATGAAAGTTTGTTACCACCTCATGGAATGAAATAATCTTATCTTCCTTCATTATTTGTAAAATGGAAATTAAATCTTTTTTTGGCCAGTATTTTAGTGAAAAATCTTTCATATTATGTTCTAGTACAGTTAATTTGCAGGTTTTCGGTATATATTTGACAATTCCCAAAGATTTTTTAATCTCCTCCAAAACTTGTAAAAGATGGTATAATAGTAATGATTTATCTATAAGAGTCTCCGTATATTTCTTGTTGCTATTTAACCATAGATAGTATTCCACGTTCTTAGTTTTAGTAGCTTCTGCTTCAATAATGTACCAAGGTTCTACACTCATATTTTGTTCTTGTAATTTATATACATGTTTGACTATATTCGTGTAATATATAGGTTTTACAATGGGGAAGTTTAAACCGCCTTGTTTTATCTTCTTAGAGAGTACCTTTAAAGGACCACTCTAGGCACCCAGACCACTTCAGCTTAATGAAGTGGTCTGGGTGCCAGGTCCATCTAGGGTTAACCCATTTTTTCATAAACATAGCAGTTTCAGAGAAACTGCTAAGTTTATGAATGGGTTAAGCCTTCCCCTATTTCCTCTAGTGGCTGTCTCATTGACAGCCGCTAGAGGCGCTTGCGTGCTTCTCACTGTGATTTTCACAGTGAGAGCACGCCAGCGTCCATAGGAAAGCATTATGAATGCTTTCCTATGTGACCGGCTGAATGCGTGCACAGCTCTTGCCGCGCGTGCGCATACAGCCGACGGGAGGAGAAGAGGAGGATCGGAGGAGGAGAGCTCTCCGCCCAGCGGTGGAAAAAGGTAAGTTTTACCCCTTTCCAGAGCCGGGCGGGAGGGGGTCCCTGAGGGTGGGGGCACCCTCAGGGCACTATAGTGCCAGGAAAACAAGTATGTTTTCCTGGCACTATAGTGGTCCTTTAATCTAATTCTGGGCTTTTTGTTTTTCCAGATATAAGATAAAAAATTGGCTTGAATCATATCAAGCCAGCTTTTAGATATTCTAAGAGGGAGCATTGCAAATAGATAGGACCATTTGGGTACTATATATACATTTACAACATTAATTTCCCCTCACCATGATATATTCACATTTCTCCATGATTTCAATGTTTTATTTGTGTATTTTAACAATTCCATTACATTAATTTCCATAGTGTTTTCCACTCTAGCTGGAATTAAAAGTCTTAAATGGATTATTGCTCTTTTAGTCCAAATAAATTTATATTCCTTTCTCAATTTTTCTACTGTCAGTTTGTCTATATTCTTATACATAACTGTTGATTTTAATATATTTAGTTTATAGTTCGAAACCAAAGCATATTTATTGATTTCTTTCATTAATTCTGGTAAAGATTGTTCAGGGGACGTCAATATCATAGTAGTGTCGTCCGCATATAGATACATTTTTATTTCTCTTATAGCGGTATAAAAACCCTTAATGTTAATATTGTCTCTAATGTTAATTGCTAATGGTTCCATTGATAATATATACAGGAGAGGTGACAGAGTACACCTCTGTCTTGTGCCATTCTTTAACGTGAACCATTCTGCACAAATATTAGCTCCGACGGTTCTCGCAGATGGAACCGAATAGAATGCCATAATAGCATTGAAAATCATACCCCTAAACCCAAATCCTTCCAAAAGCTTCACTATATATCCCCAGCCGACCCTGTCGAATGCTTTTCCTGCGTCTAATGACAGGGCCAGCAGGGGAATTAGCCTCTCCGGATTGATCTAATATGTCCAAAATTGTTCTCGCACTATTGGTTGTGGACCTTCTCGGAACGAAACCAGTTTGGTCTGTGTGTATTATTTTTGGAATAATATTTTTCAATCTTTCAGCAATAATTGAGGCATATAATTTAAGTCTACATTAATTAACGAGATTGGTCTATAATTTTCTACATATCTGCTATCTTTGTTTGGTTTTAAA